CCAGGCTGGCTCAGTGGAAAGGGGCTGCAGGTCGGTGCCCCGTCATCTGCCCATCCAAGTACACATGGAACACGTGCGCTGCCCTTGGCACTGGGCACTGCAGTGAATGAGAGATGACAGTCCCTGCCCTTGTGGCGCTCACCGCCTGGTGAGGACAGTGCGTGGCACACAAGCACGAGGAACCACTGCTAGCTGTGGATTGCCTGAGACAGAGGGTCCCACCACCGTCTCTCTCTCACTGGGCCAAGCAAGGTCTAGGCCTGAAGGATGAGGAGCCAGGTTTGCTAAGACCTGAGGGGAAAGTGTGGGGCAGAGGAAACAGCATGTGCAAAGGTCCTGGGGTGGGGGGATGTGGGGTGTCCAAGCAACTGAAGGTGTGCGTGCCTGTTGCAGAGGAGCAGCAGAAGGAAGGAGGAAGGGGCCGGGCAGGGGGGGCCGGGCAGGGAGGGCTGGCTGGGCTGGGTGGTGCCGGACTTTGGCTGTGGGGGAAGCAGTTGAGATTTTATTTTCAGTGTGGCAGGGAGCCAGGGAGGGTTTCAGGCAGGGGGGATACAAGGCCTGATTCCAGTTTTAAGAAGACCACTCTGGAGCTGGGTGGAGATGGGGTGTGTCCTTGGGGGCCCCACTGCTGCCGGGTAGCACATGGGCAGAGCTGACCTCGGCTTTCGATTCCTCCCAAGTCCTCCCCTCTGCTGCAAGCTGATTTTCAGAGGAACAAACTGGTTTGAGTCCAGGGCAGGCTCCCTGGCTGGGCTGTCCCTCCACTGGCTGAGACTCTAGCCCTAGCCCTGGCCACTGGTGGGCAGAGGGGCCCCAAGAGGCCCAGTGCCCAGCGGGGTCCGTAGGTGTCTAGGTCAACTGACGAACATGGAGACTGCAGGATGGTACCAAGGCCTGGCTCAGATCCCAGCTGGGTGACTACCTTAACAACCCTCAGCCAGTTTCCTCTAAAATGGGTTAGCAATGCCTCCCAGGGCTGCCTTGCAGGGGCTAGCCCAGGATAAAAGGAGGCATCTTACAGGCCTCAAACTTCAAGTTAACAGGTGCTCACTAAACACTCATCACCAAACTTCCCCCCAACCCCCAGTTCTACCTGTTTTAAAGCAGATTCTGAGTTGGGCTCATTTCATCCCTGGGGAGGCAGGAAAGTACAGGGGAAGCTGGCCAGCTCAGTGCACACAGGCCTGGTGTGGGGCCTGGGCTGTGCATTCCTCATGGTGACCTTGTGTGGGCCACACTCTCTCTGTGTGCACCAGGGACAGTGGGGAGGAGCAGGGCACCGAGAGTGCTCTCACTAAGGGAAGCCTCTTCCTCCCTCTCCTCAACAACTCTGTGAGCTGGCCAGCACATGAACACCCCCTTTCTAGAGATGGGGAGACTGAGGCTGGAAGGGGCAAGGAATTCACTCAAGGTCCCCCAGCAAGCTAGCAGCCTGGGATCTGACCCAGGGCCCTTTGGGGTATTAGCACAGTCAGGATGGGGGACCCAGAGACTCTGTAGGCAGTATTTATTGGGCACCAACTAGCGCCAGGTCCTCACGCCCTGAGGCCGGTGCCCCTCAGTGCTACGGGAATGGCCTGGAGGGGTCGGGGGATGCCGCAGCACTCTGGCCCTGCTTGGCTCAGGTTCTGGTATTGGAGGGCCTCAGGGTCAGGGAGGCCCCACCAGATGCCCAGCAGCTTTAGGATCCTCCCCGCCTCAAGGAGTACTGGGAATAGGGCACCACTTCCGCCAACGCCTGGAGGGCTCCTTATCCAGGGCCGTCTGGAATCCTCACCTACGTCCAGGAGAATGAGGGACACAGAGTTGTGGAGAACTTCCCACTCGTGGAAATCGTTTGGGCAAAGGGAGGAATTCTCTCCCCGAGGGCCTCTGGCAGAAGACCACGGGGATCCCAGTTTGGGCCCCCGGTATAGATGAAAGTCTAGTTCCTGAAAATAGGCTGTGCGCGCCCCCCCAGCCCACCCCCAGCTTACGTTGTGGGCTGTCATCTCAGCAGAGACAACACCGACTTACTCTGAAATTCCTCCTCAGCCCCGACCCTGGTTGAAGCAGGGCTTCCTACCCTGGCTAGGCCTCCGCATCAGATCGGAGTCTGGGGGGTGCAGTGTGGTGGCGGGAGCAGCCGACAGGGGCGCGACACTGCAGGAACAGGTGCCCGTGTGCTACAGGGAGACCACCTGCGCACCGTCCCTCTCCCCACCCCCAGCCCGGGTAGCCCCGCCCCACCCCACCGTCACCCGGGGAGCCCCACCGCCCAGCGCAGGGCGAGGAAGCCCCAGGACTCCTGGCACGCAGCCGAGTGGGGCAAGAGGCTTTCAGACACACATCTCGACACCATGGGCCTCAAAGAGATCGAAATGCATTTAATGTGGTCTAGTCTCATCACCTAAGTCTTTAGATACTGCTATGAATTGAAAGTAACATGAAAATTCTCCGGTTTTACCGTTTAAAATAGATTTGACATTCTGTGACTCACGCAGGGCAGACACCCAGTGCAGGGGCCTCCCGACGGTGGTTCCTCCTTGCCCCCCAGGACCCTCTGTCGCGTGGGGACCCGGCGGCACAGCACCAGCAGAAGCTCGGGGGGGCGGCCACCATGCTCTGAGCAGCAAGCCCAAGCTGCACACGGATGCACACCGCCAGGGCCGCACACACGCACACGTACATGTGTTCACACAGACACACACAGGGCCGCCCACACATGACCCAGGCACACGTGCTCACCTCCAGAGGCCTCCCCCGTGGAACAAAAGCTCCATCCACACACCGACGTGCAAGATCGGGCCACGTGTGGGGCTGTCGGGTCCAACCGCGCCAGCGTCTGTGGCCAGCATCCAACCTGAGGGGTGGGTGCCTAGCCTCCCAGCCTGGTGAGCATTGAACCAGCCCCCCACATAGAAAACATGAACGCAGACACGCCTGTGGGCAGACAGACACATAACTACCTGCACACGCACACACACACACATCACGTGTCTGTATCACCAACGCAGTCGCGCTGTGGAGAGCCGCATGTGCACATCTGCACCACCACGGGCACGACGGGGGCGTGCACCTGTACACCCGCCCCGCACACCTCCCCCAGGGGCCAAGTCTTCCTGCTCTCGGCTCTTCCCATCCGCCCTCCCGCTTCAAGTGCACGAAAGAGAGAGACTATTTTGGTCTTTAGCACAAGCGATAAATAAATAAATAAATAAATACAAGGGAAGGAAAAAAGAGGGCAAAAGAGTTTGAAAACGCAGCATCTGCCTGCCTTTGGCAAGATGAAAGGCAGTCAGGATGCTCTCCCACCAGGGCCTGAGAGGCAAGTGCACCAGGCCGCCAAGAGGGCCAGGGAGCGGGCCTGGGGGACCTGAGGCGCTGGGGCTCTGCTCTGGATGGGAGGAGCAGGAGCCTGGCCCACCCGCCCCGCGAGGGCAGTGCGGAGCTCAGGCCTCTACTCTGGCACCAAGTGCCCGGGCCGCCCCTCCCTGAGCCTGGCCATCTGGGGGGTGGATGAGCACTGAGCACTCACGCACCCCCTCCACCCGCAGCGCCCAGGGCTACGGCAGGGAGAGCCAGCCAGGCTTCGGGCAAGGGCCAGGCCTGGAGCAGGAAAGAGCTGAGGCCCCTCCAGCAGATCCTGAGAGGTGACAGCTGCCTCCAGCTGAATCTTCAAGGCAGAAATGCCAGGGGAGTCTGAGGCTGGAGCAGGGCATGGAGTCAGGCCTACCTCAGGACATGGGGGTTGGGGTGTCTCTGGGCCCCCTCCAACCCCGTCTCACTGACAGCCTTGGCAGCCCATGTCTAGACCCTCCATGGCCCACCCTCAGGGGGAGGCCTCCAGCCATGGTGAGGGGAAGAGGAGGAGGGAAGAGGCGGGAGCCTGCACCCTAGGCTGCAGCCCCTCCCTGTCACCCTACCCCACCCACTCACTTTGTGACTTTGTATGTCCCCTTCTGTGTTCTCTGCCTCAGTTTCCCCTCTTGGGCCAGAGAATCCTCGGTGCCTCTTGGTTCTGAGCTGTCTTGGAGGGTGCAGGAGACGCGGGCCTTCGCGAGGGGCCCGATTCAGGGAGAATGGGCTTCCTCAGCAGAGGCCTGGCCCCCACCAGCTGCCAAGAACAGGACAGGGCCGGCAGAGCCAACAGCCAAGGACACAAACCTCTTCCTGACAAGGAGCCGCAGTGCTTGGACTGTGGAGGTGGGGTGCAGGAAAGGCCCTGGAGTCGAGGCAGGAAGGAATCATTTGTCCCACAGCCAGTTTCTCAATTCAGCTTTGAACAAGGGGACGCTCCCCAGCATCTCAGTTGGTGGGAGGGGTTACACTCCCTGTCCTCTAAGATCTTTCCTCTGCCACTCGACAGCAGACCAGGGACGCCTGTGCCCCTCCTGGGCTCCCCCTGCACTGCTGGCTTCCTAAGGCAGACAGAGGGCTGGCAGGGGCTTCAGCAGTGGAGGTGGGGAGGGCAGGAGAGCCCAAGAAGAACAGGAACAACTTGAGCAGGACAACCTGGAGTCTCTAAGGCACGACTCACGCTGTGGGCCCAGTGCGGACGGGGCTGATCCACTTCCTCTGAGTCTGGGATCCTGACTTCCCTTTCCAAGGAGCCATCCACCCCTGTGGTTCCCAGCTGCCCCCCACGTGGCAGGGGTGGTGGTCCCCGGGCAGAATGGAGAGAGAAGCAAAACATGAGAATCAGGGTGGGGGTGAACCCTCGACAGCAGGTCCCATACCTGGCCCTGAGACGCACCTCTAAGGTACAAAGTCAAACTCAAAAAGCTCAAACCAGTTTCTTCCCAGCCCCCACCCTCCACCCCAGTGACAGTAGAAAGCTTTTATTGTGATCATTAACATGGTCTTGGATTTTCTAACACAAACAGAACCTAGTCCGCCCCTATCAGAAGTGCGGGTCCTCGAGCACCGAGCTTGCCCTGGGGGCTGTGTCCCAACCCAGGGGGAGAGGCCAGTTCCACCTTGGGAACCTTCTGGAGCCTCCAGCCAGTTGCTGCATCCCAGCAGACTCATGGAATTCTAATTGTCCTTTTTGCCCCCCCAAGAATTAAAAAAAATTTTTTTCGATCGCATGTTAATTTTTTTTTTTTTTGTAAACAGTCTCACCCAAGCTAAGGTTGAGAAACCCAGTGTTTCTCCCCAAGGTAAAAACCCGCCAGCCTCCCACAGCAGAGGCTATGCCCACCACCCAGCCACTTCCAGGCAGGCTGCAGCTCTGTCTTCAGGCAGAAGCCCCTGGCCCCCAGGAGGCCACCGCCCTGCCACCTCCCTACATTGGCCTCTGAGGGCAGGGGCCACCCGCTCTGGCCGCCCACTCTCCCACCAACCTTCTGAGGCCATTGCAAAGAAACATAAAACGACTAAAACGCTACTGAGTCTGCAACCTAGGGCACGTGGTCCCCGGTCCTGCTCAAACCGGGGGTGGCCCCACCGAGGGGTGCCTCGGCCCCTCCTGGGCGGGGGTGGGTGGGGGGGATGCTGCATCTCAGCCACCAGCGGCTCAGATCTCCGACTCCCGCCTGTAGGACCGCTGCTCCAGGGTGCTACCGCCGGCCTGGAGTCTGTCAAAGTCATGCCTGGCCTGGGGACTGAGCCGGTCTCGGCTGCGGCTGTCCTGGTCTCCGTCGGCCTCGTCCTCCTCGTCGCGGCTCAGGAAGGCCAGCTCATTCTCGTAGCAGAAGGAGTTGGCGCTAGGCAGCAGGAACTTGTTCTCGACCAGGTCCTTGGCACTGCAGCGGGGCGTGGAGGGCACCTCGTAGGTCTTGTGGAAGTGCGAGTAGTCGATCTTGTACTGGTTCTTCTCCTCGAAGAGAACAGGCTCGAAGCGGTGGCCCCACAAGATCTCGTTGGCCAGGTAGGAGCTGCGGGCCTGGGTGGTCATGGCCGTGGCCTCCACCATGCCCTCCAGGATGACCACGATCTCGAAGTCATCCGTCTCCAGGTCCTGCCGGCTGATGCCAAACAGCGGGCTGGCCTCGTCGATCTCGTGCAGGATGGTGATGGGTGACACCAGGAAGATGCGGTCCAGGCCCTTGTCGAAGCCCACGTCGATGTCGATCTGGTCTAGCGGGATGTACTCGCCCTCCTCTGTGACCCTGGGCTTGATGAGCTGCGCCCGCACGTGGGCCTCCACGATGTGGCTCTTGCGCAGGTTACCCACGCGCCACATGAGGCAGAGCTTGCCATCGCGCAGGGCCACCACGGCATTGTGGCTGAACAGCAGCGTCTGCGCCCGCTTCTTAGGCCGCGCCATCTTGGCCATGATGGCGCCAATCATGAAGGAGTCGATGATGCAGCCCACGATGGACTGTGCCACCACCATGAAGACGGCCACTGGGCACTCCTCCGTCACACAGCGCAGCCCGTAGCCAATGGTGGTCTGCGTCTCGATGGAGAAGAGGAAGGCCGCCATGAAGCCGTGGACCTGCATCACACAGGGCGTGCGGCCCCGGCCCTCGGCCGGCTCCAGGTCACCGTGTGCCACGGCGATGACCCAGAAGATGATGCCAAACAGCAGCCAGGAGGCAAGGAAGGCCAGCGAGAAGATGAGCAGCATGTAGCGCCAGCGGATGTCCACGCAGGTGGTGAACATGTCGGCCAGGTAGCGCTGTGACTTCTCGTCCATGTTGGCGAACTCGATGTTGCACTGGCCGTTCTTCTTGACGAAACGGTTGCGGCACCTGCGCCTCGTGTGCACCTTGCCGTTGCCGAAGCCGTTGGCACCCGGCATGGTGACCAGATGCAGCCCGTCCTCCTCTGACGACACGATGCTGTAGGGGTTGGCCCGGCTGGCCGCGGTCATCCCGGGGGTAGGGGGGCCCCAGCTCGCCCCCAGGCTGGCTCCCGGCGGGCTGACCCCTGCAACAGAGAGGACAGCGGGTCTGCAACAGAGAAGACGGTGGCCCCATCACTCCTCCGCCCCGGCCACTCCACCGCCCCCACCCTGGCACCCAGCCCTGACCAGGAGACACTTCCACCTGACCAAGCCACGAGCGGGTTCCGGTCCGGCCTCACTCAAGCCCACGCCACCTTCTAGGTGTGGACAACAACCTCTCCACCCTCCCAGCAGTACCAGCCAAAATCCTTGGATCCATCCGAACACCTCTCACTGACACCCAGGGCTCTGCTCTTGGAATATCTTTAGGGTGTAGCCCTTTCTGCCCCTCTCACGGCCTGAGTCCCTGTCACTGCCTGCCTGGACCAATGCTCCAGCCACCCCGACAGCCCACCCCAGATCCCCCAGTCCCCAAGGCAGCCATGGAGGACCTGTGGAAGCTGAGTCAGAACCTGTCCCTCCTCTGCTCAAAGCCAGAGTCCCCTCAGGGACACACAGGACTGCACGGGACCTCACCTCGCAGCCTCTCCTACTCACCCTGCTGCAGCCCGTGGCCCCCAGACTTCCCTCGAACCCACCCTGGATGCCTTCCTCCCGGCTGTCCTCCTGCTGCCTGGCCGCCTTCAGGCCTTGGCTCCAACACTGCCATCTCCGGAGGCCTTCCTGTGCCCCAGGAAGGCTGCACCCCGGTCCCCGCCCAAAGTCCACAGCACCGACCCCCTGACAGAACAGAGCCGGCAACAGGAATAATGGGAACATAAGACTGCCATTCCCCGAGGGCAGGGAGCTTTCTATTTTGCTCCTTGTTGTCCCACCCCTTGTTGTTCCCACTCCAGGGCCTGGAGTCGGGGAAGCCTGCCACCCCCGCCATCTCCCACTTGGGATACCCCGAGCTAGGTTCTGCCACCCTCCTGACATCCACACACCCTGGGGCACCTGCACAGCACACCTGTGGCCTCCCCATCTTCAGCAGTGTGGAGGACGGGGGCCACCTGCTGTTCAGCGCCTCCTCCCAGGTCCCTGCTTTCCTCCTCTCTAAACAAGGACGGCAGGGCCACCACCCCAGCATGTGGGGAGCATTCAAAAGTATCACCTATTCCCATCACCGCTGCCGGCTCGCTGTGGAGAGCACCTGGCCAGGCCCAGCCTGCTGCGCACGCTTGCGCACACCGGGCCACCGGAGCAGGCCCCACAGCAGGGCGTCCGCGGCAGCCAGAACAAAGCCCACTCTCAGTGGGACACACAGGCCACCTGTCGGTGCCTGTCGGTGCCAGGCTGTGGCATCTGAGCCTAGCCCTGTGGCCACTGACTCCTCGGCTGGGCTGGGCTGGGCTGGGCTGGAAGGGGGCAGACCTAGGACTCGCCAGGGCGGGCAGGATGCTGAGCAGTTGGACAAGCCCCTCTCCACCCACGGGGACCCCTCGCACACCCAATCCCCACCGGTTGCACCAGGAGGCCGCAGCCAGGCAGGGCCTTGGACCCTTGAGCGCCTGCAGCCACTTTGCCTGAAAGACACTGAAGCCCCAGGAGAGGGTCCCAGGGTGGCTGGGCACGCAGTGTGGGCCGGGTGCTGTGCAGAGCCACCTGCAGATCCCTGGGGCCCTCCGGGGAGGGGTGAGTGGGCCACCCCACTTTACAGACAAGGATCTGGAGGCTCACAAACGGGCAGTGACTTGTCTGAGCCCCACAGGCAGGAGGCAGCCATGCCGGGATTCAGCCCAGGTCTGCGTGACAGGCTTCTGGCCAAGTCCACACTAGCCAGGGCCTCGGAGAAGGCACGACTCCTGACCTCTGCTCCAAACACCTGGAGACAGGTGGGAGTGGAGCCTGAATGACCAGCCAGACTGGGTGCATCCCCAGGGTCGGTGTCAGTCGCGGTGCTGCGAGAGCCCCAGAGCCTGGCAGGGACGAGACACTCACAGCAACCGCTGCCTGAGAGGACTACAGGGAGAACAGGCGAGGTCCTGGGCACCTCTCAGGGGGCCAGACACATCAGCAATGCTCTCAGGTCATCCTCTCAGCAACCGCAGCAGCTACCATGATTACATCCACTCTCTGAACAGAAGAAGTGACCCCTCCGAGCCGCACAGCCATTAAGCAGGAGAGCTGAAATTCAAACCACGTCCGCCCAACGCAAGGTCTCCCTCCACAGCCCCCAGGCTCCTCGGCGGACGCCTTTCCTCACTCTGCTGTCCTCCCCCAGTGGCTGCTCCAGGTGACCACCTCACCATGGGTCTGAGGAGCCGAGGCCCGAGGCCGCAGTGGTGGATGCTGCTTCCGCCGGGGCCAGGAGGCAGGGAGCTGGTGGTGTTGGGGTCCCCCAGGACTGAGCTGGGAAGATGGCTCAGCCCCAGACTCCCAGGCCCTCTGGCAGGAGGCAGCCAGGGATGGGGCACTCAGATGCCGGCGGGAGGACACCAGATCCCAGGGGGTGGGTTTGTGTGGCCCTGGGGCCTTGAGGGACGTCCAGCGGGTCATGGCTGCTCCAGCCCGTGCTCCGAGCAGCTTGAGGCCTGCAGGGAACAGAATCACAGGAATCAAAGGCCAGAGAGCGCAGCCTGCACGTTGCTCCCGGCGGCTGGCAGCCCTCGCCTGGCCGGGCACCAGGCAGGCGAGGGTGCTGCGATGGCTCCTGGCATCTCCGCCAGGGCTGGGCGCCTGGGTGCTACCCAGATGGTGTCATATAGGTCTGGGAACCCCCGTTTCTGTTGACATTCCTTCTAAAAACACAGAGAAAGTCAACAAGGTCAAGTTTGTACCCCGCTCCCCCATTTCTCAGAGCCAGAAACTGACTCGGATCAAAGTCCCCCAAAAACTGAGTAGCAGAGACAGAGTTGGAGCCCGGGGTCTTGGTCCTCAGCCTTCCACAGCCCCATCCCACTGTGAGAGAGAGACCCCAAGCACTAGGGGAATGGGAGCCCCTCACTGGGCACTTGGTGAACACAGCAGCACAAAGGAAGACCCCAAAGAGGACACAGGAGTAGAAACCGCGGCACCACCAACTTGCCCAATGTCCCAAGGACACTCCTGCACGAACACAGGTGTGGCGAGGCTACACAAGGATTCAATGTAACAACTATAAGCCAATACCTTCAACCAGGGACATTCAGCCCAGGCTGGCTCTCGCTCAACTGGGTGCTCAGGTGAGATCAGGTAAGACTCTGGCTCCCCATTTTATGGATGGGAGAACCGAGGCAGGAAGAGAAAGAGACTTGTCCCAGGTCACGTAGCCCAAGACTATAGTTAAAAGCGTCCTCTGCAGACACCCAGTTTGGCCAGCAGGGGTCCCAGGGTCTCTGGGAGGGGAACAGGAGAGAGGCGCTGGAGTAACTACCTGAGCTAGGTGGTTCAACACTGGAGAATAAGCCGTGGGGAGCGCAGACCCAGCTGACCCCGGGGATGGCAGGATACCCCAGAGACGGCGAAGCCAGGTCCAGCCCTTGGGAGTGTCGTAGGTCCCTGCCGGCCACGAGCCTGGAGATGCAGCCTCCTGGCAGCCAGTCTGCTTGGAACACTGGCCGGGCGTGGGCTGGCAGCTTATAGAGAGGATGACCGACAGGTGATGGCTGCCACGTGATCCGAGGGTGGGGCCCAGGAGTCACGGGGAGGTGCCTCCGGATGGAGCAGGATGCCCCGTGCCCATTCCCCTCGAGGCTCTGGGCTCCTCAGGTTTCAGTGACATCCGGAGGAGACCAGGGCAAGGCCTGAGACCGCATTCCCGGATGCTAAGAAAGTGCTGACCGGAAGGGACGGCGGAGGGGCCCACACTGCTTGGGCGAAGACCAGGACCAGGGGGCGGGCAGCCCCCCTGCCAGGGCCTTTCAGCTGGTAGGGACGCCTCCGAGGCCCAAGCACAGTTAATCGATACCTACGGAGCGCTTATTACCTGCCAGGTGCTGCTCCGAGAGCTCTACTACAGTAATTCACTTAATCCCTACGATAACACTGTGACTATTATCCCCACTTTCCCAATGAGTAAACCGAAGCTCAGAAAGACTGGGTCACTTGCCAAGGGTCACACATCCTTTAAGAAGTGGAGCTTCCAGTCTAGGGGGTGGGGGGGAAACCAGTGCCCCTCCAGCCCATGCTCCTCTCAGGCCTCAAGCCCCTGCAATCCCATTTGGTGACAAGACACGCAGACGGGCCCGCTGGCACTCCGAAGCGCAGCTTTAAGGGCCCTTGCCAGCATCCCTGACCTCTGGATGGAGCAGGCGCCCATCTGGTGGGAGGTGGCGCCCACTATCTTGCCATCAAGCCGCACCATCGAAGACCCCTCAGAGAGCACTAGTGCCAGGGAGGCCGGGGTGTGAGTGTGCGCGTGTCCTGCCTCCACCTCCCCTGCGGCCCGCACCCACGGCAGACATCACTCATCGAGCTGCGTCCAGGACGGCCTCGGCCTCTTTCCTAATGCAGTCACTATCCGCCAGACTTCTCAGGAGGGCCTGAGAAACCGATCCGCACTCTGCAGATGGGGAGACCAAGGCTCCGAGACGGCTGGGAGGCAGGCCAGGCCAGGCTGCAGGGTCGTCTCTCGTGCCAGGCCCTGCCCACAGTGGGGGACCACGGCGAGGCTGGGCTGGGCGTGTGGGCGTGTCAAGGAGAGGCATTCCCAGCGGAGAACCAGCCAGGGCCAGGAGCCAAAGGCGAGGACGTGCTGGGCACCCCGGGGGCAGCAAGGGGGCTGCAGCCAGGTCAGTGAGAGCCAGGTGCCCGTGTGGAGGGGAGAGGGAGAGCTGGAGGGGCCGGCACCTCTGTTTCTCACAATCTGGGAAGAAGATGACCTCTCCTGCCGGACCACCTCTCCAGGCCAAACTCCCCCCACCAGAGACTCAGACAGCCTCTGCCATGGCCCCCAGCCCGCAAACATTCAGGATCAATGCAGTGCAGGATCTCGGTGCCAAGCGTGGGCTCAGCTGTATGAGAGAAGCTGTGGCGACATGCTGGTATGTGTGGGGGATGGTGGTCGGTACCCACTCGTACCCTGGCCCTCACTACCGGCCCCAATTCCCACAGCCAACACCAGTGTCTTCTGCCCCAAAGCTCTCTCTGGCCATTGGAGCACGCTCTGCCTATGCAGAGGGCAGGCTGGGGAGCTGATGCCACCAGAGCAGCCTTCAGTCAGTGACAGACAGGCGCAGATGGGTAAACACCCAGCAAACTGCCCCTTGTATGGGATGACACCGAGGGCAGGTTGCACGCCATCTCCCCGGCGGGGCTAGGCTCCAGCTGCCCCAGCAGTAGCCGTCCCAACAACCCACTTATGGGCTCCCTCTCCTCCTTGTCCCACCTCCTCACTTCAGGGATCACCTCCCACTAAGCAACTTGCACTGGAACCTTTCCCCCCTGGGCCCTCCTCACAGGGCCAAGGCCCTGAACCCCAGCTTCCCCTCCTGCAGGCCCCACAACACCATGCCCCTTCTGCCCCCCTCCTGTTCCTCCTCTTCCACGAAGCCCTTTACGATTCTTTAGCCCTGGGCTTCCCCTGCTAGGGCCAGAAGCTACTTTCTAACCTATATTAGAGTTGATCTTGTCCAGGCCCCATCTCTACCAACCTCAGAGGCCCAGAGAAGCTGGAGTTGGCCCTGGCAAAGAAGGGACCCCCAGGAAATGCACCCTGGCCAGATAAAAGGATAAAAGACTAGGCAGCTGAGTAGAGGATGGATGGAATAACGAATGAGCAGACAGATATGTGCACAGGTGGGTGGTCGAGCAGATGGACAGATAAATCGGGCTAAGAGATGGGTGGGTGGGTGGATGGGGGTGACCAGATAGATGGACGGGTTAGGTGGGTGGAGGGCAGGTGGACGAATGGCTGAGCAGATGAATGGGTGGAGGGAATGGCTAATGAGTGGATGGGCTGGGCGGTGGACATAGGTGACGGGTGGATGCACGGGTGGGTGGATGGGTGGAGTGTAGATGAGTGTTTGGTAGAATGGATGATTAGATGCACAGGTGCACACCAGTGACTTTAATCTTACCTCTTGAATTCTATCTTCTAAGTAATGGTGCTGAGTGGGCAAGTGACAGTCTTCAAGGCTGAGTTAGCAGTGGCTGCCATTTCCCAGGCACCAGCTAGGGAGGATCCAGACACTAGAACATCCTAAAGTTAACAGAGCAAAGCCACGTTACTGCAGACGGTGCTGCTCTTCTCAGAGGGGCTCAAAAGTAAGACATTTCCACATGAACCCTCAATTCTGCTCACTTCCCCCACCCCATGGGAGGCGGAAGGGCCTCCAGCCTGCACCTCTGATGCCCCACACCTTTGTAGCCTTCGAGCCCTGTCCAGAACAACCATCCAGAACCAGGGAAGGGCAGAACAGGATGGGTCTTCAGAGAAAATAACAACTGACAATTATCAAGTGCCTATTGCATGCCAGATACTATCACAGGTATTTTACATATATCGTCTCACATAATCCTCACAACCCCACAAGGTTAGAGCTATTATTATTCCCATTTCAGAGATGTAGATAAGGTGGTAATTCTCCTAGGGCCACAAAAGAACTCAGGCCCTCAGCCAGTGCTCTTAGCCACCACCTGCAGAGCCTTCCCAATGCCAACCCTGGAGCCAGCTGTGGACAGCTGAATGGATGGACGGGTGGGTGGGTAGGTAGATGGAGAGTGGGTGGATGGATGGGTGGATGAGTGGAAGGATGGATGGATGGATGAGTGGAAGGATGGATGGATGGATG